TGTGTGCGAGGTGTGGCTGGGCCAAGGGACTAGAAGGCCTGAGAAACAGCTGCCCCGAAGGAGCTTGTGCTCCAGTGAGACCCAAGCCCAGCACACCTGCGAGAGGAAGGGTGTGTGTGTGTGTGTGTGTGTGTGTGTGTGTGTATAGTGTAAGGGCACTGGAGAGAATACACGTGAAGCTCGTGGGCTTGCATTTCCTTGGAAGGAGGCTGAGGACATCTTTGGTGGGGAAGCAGCAGGCCACTGTGGCCAGGACGGTCTTCCAGGAGGAAGGGCTGGCATGAGCAGAGGAGAGAAGGCAGGAGACTTACTTGGGAACCTGAGTGATTCCATCTAAGGGGTGGCTGGGGAGAAGGTGGGCTCAGGGCTCAATGGTGTCATGCTGCTGAGAGATCAGAAAAGGTGAACCACAGCTAATGCCTTAAAACTTAAAACTGAGGGATGCCTGGGTGGCTCAGTTGGTTAAGCGTCTGCCTTTGGCTCAGGTCATGGTCCTGGGATGAAGCCCCACATCAGGCTCCTTGCTCAGTGGGGAGCCTGCCTTTCCCTCTGCCTGCCACTCCCCCTCCTCATGCTCTGTTTCTCTCTCTCTGACAAATAAATACAATCTTTAAAAAAAAAAAAAAGAAAGAAAGAAAGAAAGAAAGAAAGAAAAAAAAAACTTAAAACTGAGCAATTGACCTCAGCCACGTGAGCTTTTCAGGAAAATGGCTGCTGCCCCACATGGAGGGCGGGAGGCAGGCTGAGTGTGTTCTAAAGTGACTACTTTGTGGGGACCTGGAGGTGAATAAGCCACCAGTTTCGGTGTCAGAGCACCAAGCAACCAGAAGGGAGCAGTGAACTTGGAGGCAGAGAGGGTTTGTTTCTCTTTGGAATTTTAGGATAGAGAGACGGAAGCTTGGAAAGCAGAAACCCAGCTCGGTTTTAGATCTATGGATCTTAGTTTAGATCTACAGTTTCAGATCTGTAGAAAGGTTGCAGAGAGAGTATAGCGAGCCCCCCATCCCCATCAGTTTCCCCTGTGATTAACACCTCTGGGACCACATTGCATGTGTCACAACTAAGAAGAAAACTAACGTGGTACATTACTGTTGCCTAAACCTAAACCAGGCTCCATCAGACCCGACTTGTTTCACCGGTTAAGACCCTCTTTCTGTTCCAGGATCCCAGCCATGATACCACGTGACAGTTACCATGTCTTCTTCATCTCTGATCTGTGACACGTCCGGTCTTCCCTGGTTTCTCAGAGATGACCTTACACCTTGGAGAAGCGTGGGCCAACTATTTTGTAGAATGTCCTCAACGTGGGTTTTTCTCTTGGCTATCATCTAAGAAAAAACAAACATGCATGAAGAACTCAAGCATTTCTAACATGACAGTGGGGGAAAGCTCTCTTTTTTCTCTCTGCACTGTCAGATAGATGGGCCCATTTGAGGGCATAAAGGCAAAGAAGCTTTTCTTGGCAAAACCAAAATGTTTCCCCTTGGCTTCCTTTGGGAACAAGGTAACCAGGTAGACTCGGCTGTGCCTCAGGCTGGGAGTCGAGGCTTGGAATTCTCCACTTCCATCCCCACACACAGTTGGTGATCTTGGACAGTTTTCTGTCGTTTTCGGGAGGGGCCCTGTGAGAGGAACTGGTTCACTGAGCGTCTCCATCAGACCTGCTCGGATCCTGCATTGTTGCAAAAGCAAGATGGCAGCCGTGGCAACGGTGTGGCCAGCGTTCCTGTCATAAGTCAGCTTGTTCACCTGGGAGGAAACTGGCAACTTTTTGGCCTCCCAGACCCCTGTTTTCTTAGTTTATGGAGTCCCTTCATAATCGACTCTGTGCCTTTTTTTCAAAGTGAAAGCTCTCTCTGGTTCTTGCTGTTTGTTTTTCCCTAGTGTTCTAAGTAGCTAGGTGTGAGAGCCAGGTCGGGGGGCTGAGGCGCCCCCCAGCACCACGCCAAAAACTGAATTCTTCTAGAAAGTACTCCAGAGCCCCTTAGATAGTGCCACATGCACAACCGGGAGCCATTATTAGGTGGTGACCAGTATATGTGGCCCTGTGACCCCAAGCCATCCATCCTGACCTGGCAGACTAAAGCAATTTCTCCCAATAGTGTTCCAGAAAATAGGGCAGCTAATGGCTTACATATCTTTCCCTCAGGCCAATTAACTCAGTAATCCAATCCAAAAAGGCCTTAAGACTCACGCCTCTGATTTCTGTGAACCACATGCTCCCAGTCCTGCCTCTGACCCTCCCTTCCACCTGGGTATCTTGAAGCCTCCTCCTCTTTCTCTCTTTCCGTGAGTTTATAGGCCTAAGAAACTGAGATCAATTACTGCTTTTTCCATTTCTCCAGAGCCAGCTGCTTTTTCTTCCTCATTTTAGTGAAACGCTGTGGCTTTGACAACCAAGGGCACATGTGTGGGATCCCCAACTCTCTCTGGCCCTGTCCTTGGCCAGGGTGAGACCTGAAGTCTTTCTTCTCCTGCTTCCAGTTCTCCAGCCTGGTGTCCTTCTTGCCACTGGTGTGTGTAAACCAGAGAAATGATCGGACTTAACACAGATTTGGCTCAGGGTCCTTGAAATGATACAATGGAAGAGGCCTAACCATTGCAGGTGTGTTTTGGGTACCCCTGCTGTTATCCATAGAATCATTCCCGAAGAGAAATAATTGCACATAATTGAGAAAGCATAGAGCAGAAAAGACGGGCCTCTCCTCAGTCCCAGGTGTTCTCAGCAATAGCACTAGCAAGATGAGGGCAAGAGGGAGGACTGAGGACAAGGTTTGTGGCCAAGCGCAGACTGAAATTGAGACCTCCCTCTGGTGCTTGGGAAGCCCCTGCCTATAGTGCTCTCAGGTTAACACGATCTTGTCCACAGGGAGCCCCGCGGCCTCAGTCTCCCATAGTCCAGGGCTCTCATTGGGCCTCCATATGTTGTGGGGAGATGAGAAAGTATTGCCCTTTTTCCTTTAACTCTTCCAGGACCCCAGGGGAGCTAGGCCAGGACCTGACCACCACAGTCAGGACCCCACTTAGTGTGTGCTTGTCCTGGACTCAGTGCACGGGGATGGGGATGTCGGAGCTGGCCCCACTGTGTCCCTGCCCCAATGGTGGCACTCCTGAGTCAGGAGAACCCAGTCTGAACGAGGGTACCCAGGCTAGAAATGGGGGAGAGATGCCTACTTCTATACCACCCTCATCCCCCACTGCTAGAGCTGTGTCTCCTGCCTTTGGATTAGGCCAGGAGGCCCTCACTCACCTGCAGGTCTTTTGTGAATAAGAAGGAAAGCTTGGCACCATGAGTTTTTCTTCTCTGCACTGTGTAGCTATGGGTCACCTGGTGTCCTTACTTCTTACTGATGTTTAGTGTTGCCTTCCATCAGATGAGAGCTAAGAGGAGATGCTGAATGACTGTCCTCCACAAGGAGGGGTACAACCCTGGGGACCTGAGTGCTGACCGAGTTACTCTCACGAGGCCCACTTGGTGGTACCTCCCTCGGAAGGAGTTCTAATGTCATCTCCTTTATTTCTACCCATACTTAAATGGTAAGGAGGGGCCACATGTCACCGTTCCTGTTCTACAAATGGGAAAACTGAGGCAGTAGAACCCTGAGCCAGGAATTCCAGAGCTGTGGACACACAGTGCTGGAGGTGTGGGCAAGGGTTTGACTCCACTGCAGGCCAAAGCCCTGGGTCATCACATCCGCTGTTGCCACCTCCACCCCGCACATCTGCACCCACTGCCAGTTCCCTGGGAAAGGGAGAGGAGCAAACAGTTACAGAGAGAGAGGCCTGGCCGCACCATGGCTGGCCCACTCCCAGGGCAGAGAACCAACCTCCCTTGGGAGCAGAGGCTCTGACACAGGGCACCTGTGTCAAGGAGGGTGGCCTGAGAGCCACTCGCTCATCCCATGGGCCCTGCAATGCAGCCTGGGAGTCACTTTCACGAAAGACCCGGGCTGGGTGAGAGACGAGGGAGCTCAGCTCCGCACTGGGGGTCGAGGACCGCTTGGCCGGGGGCCACCTGCACAGGCCTCTAGTTCAGCAGTGCCAGGCAGGGATGTGGCACCTTGGTTGTACTTCCTAGTGGGAAGCTCTGCCCTTCAGGGTCCAGTATCTCAACTTGCCCACCTACAAAATGGGATTTGGGGGAAGATTGGGGGATTACTCACACGTGTCTTACCTGATGTTTATAAGGATCACTCGTTTGGAAGCGTTGTGTCTAAAACCTAGAATGGGTCCGGTCAGCCTCTAAGGTTTGTCAGAGACAAAAGGAAAGGACAAATGTGGGCCACTCCGGGGAGACTCTGCTGTGTCGCTTACTGAGCCGTGTGATTTCGTGAGGAATCACAGCTGCCCTCATGCGTGCTAGACTGTGCCCGCTGAGCATCTGTCATCTTTTTTACTGTACAGTGCATATACGGGGTAGTGCATGAAACACGAATGATTTAAAGCCTAATTACGACATCAGTATCCACGGCACCACCACCCAAGTCCAAAGCTAGACTGTTCCCAGTGCCCTAGACCCTGCCCTTGCGAGTGCTATTCTCTCCCTCCCCCTCCAGGGCACCCCATACTTGACTTTATGATAATCGCTGTCTTTTCCTTTTCCTTTGTCATGTACATGGACCCCTAAACAGTAAAGCGATTTGTAACTGTAAGAAATCACACTGCATGTGTTTTTGTGTCCCTTGCTTCTCTTGTTGGACACCATGATGTGCTCATAGAATTGCATGTGGCTAACCATGGCCCGTGTTCACAGCTGGGTAGTGTTCCAGCATCAATGAAGCATCCGTTCCGCCGCTGGGCTGCTGGTAGGTAGTGGTTCCCCGCCAGCTAATATTTTTAGCAAATGGATTGATCCCCACACTGGCTGCTGTTACTAGCAGGTGCACAGTGAGAGGCAGAGACCGAGGGTGGTCCCAGAGCCCTTTGCAAGCCTCCCTTCCGGTGTCGTGGTGCTGTGCTCCCCAGGCAGGACTAACGCCCACATCCGGGATATCTTGCAGCTTGCCGGAATCGCAGTCCTTGCCGTCGGACTATGGCTCCGATTCGACTCCCAGACCAAGAGCATCTTCGAGCAAGACAGTCAGCCTTCCAGCTTTTACACAGGTGAGTGGGGAGGAGGCGCTGAGTACCTCCCCTTAACTGCGGAGATTCTCTGTTGATCCAGGGATGGGCCTTGGCAAAGACTTTTCCTCTGGCCCCTCTGTTGGCCTGTCCTGTCCTTTTCAAGCCACGCTTTGTGCAGTCCAGCCCACAAATTTGCATTTGACTGTTGTGGTTTCTTTTATCATGCTGACTAAGTTTGGCACCCTGACCATCCTGCCCCCAATAGGAAGCTGGCTTTGCCCAAGTTGCTGCCACTCTTGAGGGTTTAAGAACCTCTGTGCTTGTCCCTGACCCTCTCTTAATGCTCTGTCTTCGTGATCTTACTCAGTTCCTTAATTCAAAAAACTTTGTCCTGGGCATCCAGACTACCAGGAGTAGGAGAGGTGAGCCCTCCCCACTGTGCAGATAGGGGCTCTGAGACCCCAGACCACCTGCCTCCTGGACCAGACAGTCAAAATGAGTAAGAGTCTAGCAGAGATGCCAACCTGGCAGACCCCGGGGGGTTGGTTAATGCCGCTGGTATTCGAGGGTATTTGGCGGGTATTTGGTTTTGTTTGTTTCCTGAAGTGCTTTTGCTTTAGGGCAAAGGTTTGCACTTTAAACACAAACAGACTTAGCAGCTTACATGGGGCTCCTGGACATCTTTTTATCTTTTCTACCATTATTCTGCCCCTTCCACCCACTGCCAAGGCTTGTCAAATGCAATTCCCCAGTTTCTAGTCAACTCACAGAATACAAAATCCCACAGCTCTTTCTGTTTTGGGATCGGAAACACTCATTTACGAGAAATAAGAGCAGCCCCCTATTTTTAGGACAATGCTGCCATGTCATCAGGCTCAAAGTGTAAGTTTGGTCATTTCCTTCCCACCCACCAAAGAAGTTATTTAAAAAAAAAAAAAAGATGGAGAACACAGCCTGAAGAGAGTGAGCCCCCAGGCCTTTTGGAAGGACGCAATGGCTGGTGGGCACAGGGACCCCCTTCCTGCCTCCCAGACGCAACCTGAGCCAGGCCCCCATGGGCCACTTGGCTGCACACGCCTGGCACTGTGGAAGTTTCCCTGCTTGTATTGCCTGTTGCTGTTGTTTTGGGGAATTTTTCAGGGTGTGTCTCCCACTTTCCGGAAAGAAAGTGAGGGAAAGAATAGCACAAGTATGTTTTCTGAAAAAACTGTGCATGCATGCGCATGCACGCGCACACACACACACACACACACACACGGAGTTTTTAGTGAGTAGGTCTCCAAAGTGCCCAGACTTGTTTTAGCAACAGCATTTTTGCAGGGTGGCAGGGGAGGGGGGCCTGGAATGCTGCCCTGTGGAGAGGAAGCAGCATAGGCTGTGCTGAGGGGGACCTGATGCTCTCCTGCCCTCCTCCTTGTCATGCCAGGGAGCTGTGAGTCCTCTGGGGGAGACAGGAGAGCAGATCTGCCCAGGAATGGAGAAGTGGGTGGCAGCGTTGGGCCCGTGTCCTGAGGAGAGCCTGGCCTCCTGTCACGCTGCCATTGTCCTCTGCAGAGTGCCTGGCAGGCTTCGGTCTTTTGTTTCCTAGGACTCTGGCTAATTTCCCATGTTTCTGGATCTAGGAGGCAAGGCTCTCATTGGCGAGTGGAGGAACCAGGAGGAAGACAGCTCCTCCTCTGCGTGTTGCTCACTGTCTCATGCATGTTGTTACGTGATTTAATCCTCGTAACTCTTTAGGATACATGGAACGATTCCCACCTTATCAATGAAGGAACCAAGGCCCAGGGATTAGAGAACATCCTGAGCTCGTACCCGTCAAGAGGCAGGGCTAGGATTTGAACCCAGGCCTACGAAAGCTGTTTCTTGGTCTACCCATGCTAGATTGTGGGGAGGACTCCCCATGTAGGAAGAGAAAGTATCTCTACCAACTGGATGTTCCCTGTTGGGAAGGTGGGCAGGGTGGAGGCTAGTCTGACCTTTGACCTCACCCAAATTGTAGTTGGGGGAGGGAAGCGCCCAGCACTGGTGGCCCTGGCCAGCGGGTGACAGGTGGGGAAGTCACGCAGGATGGCAGGAGAGTGACAAGCACATGGTTGGAGGAGCCATGGCCTTCCTCTGGGAGTCACAGGGTGCAGGATGGCCGTGATCCTACCCAAAGTGACCAGAGGCACAGTCCCAAAGAGACACAGCGATCCCTAGTTGGAGGCCAGCAACCACTGCTCCCTCAGCTCCAATAGAGGAATACTGGCACTTTGCTTCCCTGGGAAAGAGCTCAGCTTTGGAGAGTGTGTTCTGCTTGCAGAAGCCCAACAAAGGAGGGCAATGCAATGGACACTCGAGCATCAGTCAGACAAGTGGCCACTTGGGTCTGGCTGGGCCTTGCACTTCACCGAGTGTGCTGGGAAACCGAGTCACCGTCACTCATGGGCAGAGGGCCAAGAAGGCGTCACCCTTCCCCCTTGAGCTGTGACACCAGCCTTTGTATTGACCCATGTCCCCTCTTCTGGCGGAGTGCCCACTCCACCCCTGTCGATATTCTGGGCATCATGGGGTGACCGTACCTTGCACGGGGGGGCCTCCCCATCTGCCGTGCAGCCCACCGGCCAGCCTGACCGCGCAACCGACCCTTCGGAAAACCTGAAGGACCCAGGGGTGGATTTTCTCCAGGGTGGGCAACAGCTTTTAAAATAGAGAAAGAATGCATAACCAGTCCGAGAAGCAAGTGAAAAAAGAAACTTTCCAACATTCACAACAGTCAGTAGTAAATCCAGAGCAGCTGACGGCCTTATATGGGCCTTCTCCCCAGTCCGGGCCCTGGGAGACTCAACCCGTCAGCGGTATCCATAATCCCAGGCCGCAAACACATTGGGGAACTTTATTTTCTTGGTCCCAGGCCAGCAGCCCTTCTTAACTCCTTGGCGTCCTTCCAGAACCATAGCCACTGACCGAGGGCATCCGGGGACCCCAGGCAGAGGCTGTGGATGTCCTGGTCCACCCTTCCCTGGGACCATTCCTCTTCTTAGGACAAGGTGCCTAAGAGTTTCCAGGGTATGTGGCTTTTGCCCTCAGCGAGCTTGCGGCCTCGGGCGCTTTGTTGCTCTGTGCCCAGTTCTCCCCAGCCTGACACTGGCAGAGCTCACACACCCACAACCTCTCCAAAATAGAAATATACCGTGCTTGGCAAGTGGGGCATCACCGTGATGCTTATATTAGTGAGAACGGCCACCTACGGGACAGAGCGGGACCAAGAGAGAGCCACTGGGGAGCCACGTAGGATTTCTTTGAACCCCTGATTGGGTATTTGGAGATAAGAAACTGTTGTTGTCAGTGGCAAGCTGGGGCCGGGGCAGGAGGCCAATGTGTCCCCCTGGAGCTGAAGCCCAGAGCCCTGATACGCAGGTGAAATGAACACTCAGTTTTGTGTATAAAGGACATCCCAGCATATGCTTCTGCTCTACCAAAGGCTTTTCTTCTCCTCTGACCAGGCCTACAATGTCAGCCTGAAAAAAGAATCAACAGCCCTTAAGCAAATTAATACAGTAATCCTGGAGAAGGCTCCGTGACAAATAACTTTTTCCATGAGTCAGACAGAAAGCTAACATTCATTCGTTTTGTAAAGGGGAACGCTTTGTCATTTGTCATTGCCAGCCTTTGCTAACAAGCTCAGGATGTAGGCTAGGAGGAGCCTGTCCAGAGGGAAGCCCAGCAGGGACCTGCGAAGAAACAGCCAAGCCCTCCAGTGGTTCCACGGCTTCAGAGGTGGGGAGGGGACCTGTTGCCCAGGAGACCCCACTGCAGCTTCATGGCCACTGCTGAAGTGCCTGTCAACAGCCCCCCGCCCCGGGAATTGCTTATCTTCCTCCCCAGCCGGAGAGGGTGAAGCCAAGACACCCCCACATCTGCAGCTCTCCAAACAAGATACTACACCAATGACCTTTGTCCTGCAGTCTTCATCTGCTGAGCCCAAAAATGAATATTTACCATTAACCAGCAAGCCCATTAGGAGGAGAATCCATCCCATGCACTCTCTTTCTCTCTCTCCCTCTGCAGAGGGAAGTGCTTTTTCCTTTAGTAGCTCTCCATGCTGCCAGCCCAACTCCCCTGACTTCTGCCAGGGCTGTCCTGGTTTACGAAGCGGGGTCTGGACTTAACAGAAGACATGTCCGTCCACTCCCACTTCGACTCTGTTCCATGTGCTTGCAAATCCTTTTGATCTCTTAATACCCCGTGTGTATTCAGCCCTTGCTGTGGAGCTCAAAGGAGTGACCTCATCCTTCATTGTCTTCCCCCGATGAGACGGGGAGAAACCGGGGCCATTTGACTGCCATGGCTCGCCTGTGTCCCCATGGCAGGGCCACCCCTCCCGTGGTGCCTGTGCAGTGCGTGGAGCCACGTGGCCAGTCTGAGTCCGGCCCGCCGTCCCCACACTGTCGGACAGCCCAGGAGGCTAGGACTTGACTCAAGGACAAGCTGCATTTGTCCCCATGCCCAGTCTGGGCCGGGCATGCACAGGAACAATACCCATATTCATACGACGAAGGGGTTTGCCAGTAAACCCACGTGACTTGACATCACGACAGATGTGGGGGGGAAAGGGGAGAGACACAAACGCTCCGTTGTGTGCGCTCCACTCGGGGCTGCCCAGGAAGCTCAGCTGCAGGCGGGCTGCACGGTTTGTTGCCCGCAAAGCCTCAGCTCTGGACTAGGGGTGCAGATGGGGGACAGTGAAGTCACTGTAACACCTGCCAAGGTTCTCACTGCACTGTCCCGTTGTGCATTGTGTGGAAACATCACAGACATGCTCTCTCAGCTTCAGCCAGCACTTCGGGGAAGTCTCTCTAGTCCCAGTGAGTAGGGAGGGATCAGCAAGTATAGAAAGATGCACCACTGTGGTTCTGAGTGACGGCCCTCTGACCCTCATATCACCCAGAATCACGGCAGCCAGCATTTGCTGTGCACCTTTGGATCCTGTCCCTTCAGCTGCACTGCGAGCCCTGAGGTGGGCGTCGTTCGCACTCCCATCTCACAGATAGAAGGTCGTTGCACAGAGAGAGGCAGTCACTTTCCCAGGGTCACAGAGCTGGTTCTCAAACCCAGACATGCTCTCCCCACGTGACGTGTGAATCTCCCCACGTGAAGCCCCTCTCCGGATTGAACAGAACTCGCCTGCAAGACAGGGAGGCACGGGACCTCTCTGCCAGCTTTCCCATGGGGCCTCTGCACGGGGGAGTGGGACAGCTGTGACTTCTCCAGAATAGGACTACCAAGACTGGCCCCTCTGGGCCTTCCCTGGGGGGTGCCGGAAGGAAGGACGAGGACCAGGCTCCACTGTGTTCCCCTCCCAGGGTTTTACACCATGTTGGGTCCAGGCAAAAAGTCACTGACCTTCTCACTCAGATTGAGGACTTAGAAACCATGTCCTCACCCTCCCTTTAAAGGAGGATCCTGTTCACCCTACACCTGGAACAAATGATTTGCAACCCTAAGACCTCTTCAGTGTGCTTTAAGGGATGTTTTGAAATTTTCTAGCCACCGGATTCTCATTTTACTGATAAAGATACCAAGACCCAGAAAGGGAACGTGTCTTACCCAAGATCGCACAGCACGTAGTAGCAGAGTCGGGATCAAAGTGGAAGGTCTTCTGACCCCAGGCCTATGTTTTACTCACTCGAGCAAGTACTCGTTCCTTGGCCAACACGTGCCCTTGGCCTTACTGACCATGCGTGCCTCACTGCCCCCCGGAAGCAGGGCAGGGAGGCACCCCTTCTGGGAATGAGGCAGAGCTGGCCCACCCTAAGCACGGCTATTTGACCACCGCAACCCCTTCCTACCAAAGCCTGCGCTGACACGCTCTTCTGTCCGGGAAAAGCCAGCCCAAGGCTCCTCGGAGTCCCAGGAAGTCAGCCCCAGTCTGGAGGGTCTGTTTTAATTGGTGTGCATGGATTCATCTTGCTGGAAACAGCTGACAGACTGGATCGGTTTGTGTCCTGGGTCAAATCTGGGGATTTCTGTGGATCTCTTTGTCCCGGTTAGGGGGACATGAGCACCTTCCAGAAAGGCAAGGGTAAGATGGGAGTGAGGGCTTGATGGGGTGGGGTCTTAGAAGACAGACTGGTGGGAAGGAGACTTAAGAGCAGAGATGGAGGAGGCTGTTTTGAAGGATGGGACACTTCTCCCCTGAGGGAGGGGTGATAAGGATGGGGGCACAGCCCAGATTCTTAGGGAGGGGATAAAGGAATTGCAGGACATATCTGGACCTCCACACTATTGACTCCCTGCCTTGCCCTCTGTTCTCTCCCCTCAGGAGTTTATATTTTGATTGGAGCTGGTGCCCTCATGATGTTGGTGGGCTTCCTGGGCTGCTGTGGAGCTGTGCAAGAGTCCCAGTGCATGCTGGGATTGGTGAGTACCCCATCCACTCCCCGCAGCCACTCTGACCCCCAGACCCCTGCCCCCAAGATCTCATAGAACACATGTGGTGGGATGGAGTGAAGAGGGTTCCCTAAGGGCTTGAGCTATCCTCAGCCACTCCACTGTAGGCCCCATGCCAGCCTCCTAGGAGGCAGCCATCTTGTCTTCCTCCCCCAGCAGCAATGCCTTGCTCCTCTTCCTTTCTGGAGCCTCTCTCTCTTATCACTTCCCTTAGGCGACTAAATGCCAGGACTTTGTTTTCCCCTTTTTCGAGGACCACGTTTGCTTTTTTTCCCTGAATCCACAGGTACCTTTGCTTTCTCTTACTTTAAGATTTGTTACAGTTTTCTTAAATTCCACAGTATATTCTCTCTTTATTTCCTCAAATCCCTGTGGTTTTTGTGAGTGAGTGATGGTATTTTATCACTGACTCTTCATTAACACCTTAGAAGTACCAGTTCTGGGGTCAGCTGTGCCCCGTTCTTTCCTCCTGAGGAATCTCTTCCTACCACTGCTTTCACTCCTCACCTTAGCTAAGGCTCACAGTTCCATAAACTTCTCCCCTGTCCCTTCCAGGGTGTTCATTTGTGCCCCCAGATGCCCAACCCACAGAGACTTGCCATTCTTCCTTGGTCTCCAGAATACCCTTTGATTGCTCTTATTGCCTGTCTGGGATTTCTCCTCATCCTATCCCTTCTTTGTCTTCTAGTTCTTCGGCTTCCTCTTGGTGATATTTGCCATTGAGATAGCTGCGGCCATCTGGGGATATTCCCACAAAGATGAGGTAGGTTTCTCCCATAAGATCTCTTGGGAGTAATACAGGTTTGGGAATTTGGGAGTGGGAATGATGAGGGCGGAAGGGTGTCCCAGTTGGTCACTTCGGTCAGCTTTCAGCCATCGCACATGCCTCTTATTTCACCATGCTCCCCTGTGCCTATCAGAATGTGATCTCCTCCAGGGAAGGGGATGTGGGTATCCTGCCAGCCACTCCATCCAGTTCCGTGGATGGTGCTGGCACATAATAGATGTTCAGGAAATGCTCACTGGGTCCGTGTATGTGTGTGTGTCTCACACATCAGCAGCCCTGCCCCCATCTCCTCTGGAAAGATGGCTTAGGAAAACAAGACTTTGTGTGGGCTGGACCCACTACCACCCCTGCCCCTTCACCTAGTCTCTGAATATGTGCCTCCATGAGCTGAGTGCTGTCCAGACCCCACGTGAGTCCAGAGGTGTGCAAGCCGTGGGCCCCCCTTGAAGCAGCTGCCACCTGGGTGAAGGATATGCATGATAAGTGTCCTAGAAGTCATTTCTATCTAGAAGTTCCAAGGAGTTGGAGAAGGTAGCATGCCAAAGGGAACTCTCTTCTGGCTTCATGGAGAAGCGGGCATCAACACAAGCCTTGGATGAGAGAGAGGATTTCAGGAGGAAAGTTGGTGGGAGACTGAGTACTTTATTGTTTTTTTTTATGATGTTTATTTATGTATTTATTTGAGAGAGAGAGAGAGAGAGAAAGCAAGCCTGAGCGGGGCAGGGGTGGCAGAGGGAGAGGGAGAAGCAGACTCCCCACTGAGCTGAGAGCCCAACATGGGGCTCAATCCCAGGACCCTGGGACCGTGACCTGAGCTGAAGGCAGCCACTTAACGGACTGAGCCATCCGGGTGCCCCCTGAAGACTTTCCTTTAAAGACAGCTGAACATGGGCTCCCACAGGGAGCCACTAAAGAGTTGTGGGCCAGGATGGGCCACATCAGAACAGTGTTTTAGGAAGGGCTTTCTTGGCTTGTTCAGCAGCAGCAAGTGCAGGGAGACTGGATGCTGGGACCCTATTTAAAGAGAGAAAAGAATAAAAGAGAGATTTAACTGTCCAGATATAAATGCTGCAACCATTGAAATAGGAAGGGATGCTAGCGGAAGCTGCTGAAGGAGAGATTCTGGATGTTGGTCAGGGTGAGAGACGGGCGTTTGTTAAACTAGGGTGTACCCCGGTGCAGAAGGAGAATAATTGTCCTTCATATTATAGTTGCTAATACTTGTGCCAAATTTACTCTGTACCAGACACCGTGCTAAGGCCTTAACATGCAGTATCTCCTGTAAATCCTCACCATAACCTCTGAGGCATAAACTCCTATAATCTCTATCCTACATACACAGAAAAGGAGGTACAGAGAGGTTTGGTAATTTGCCAGAAGTCACACATCCTCTAAGTGATGAAGAAACAAAGGGAAGCCTGAGGAGCTAGCCTGGTCAGGAGTAGGATGTTGTTACCATTCTGTAGACTGGGGAGAGTCCATTTTGTTCACAAGTAGAAGGGAAGGAGCCAAGTTGGGTGGAAGGGACCGGCCAAAGGTACAAGAGAAGAAGGGTAAAATGGCTGGAGTGGGTTCCTAGGGATGTGGGAGGAGACGAGAAGGGCCCCGGAGGCCCTGGGAGAGGCAGGACCAATCTGGTAGCTTCAGTCTGCTCCGGGACATTCTCTGAGCACAGGAATCTGTTGTCTGAGCAGGAACAAGATCAAACAGGTGACATTTGTCCAAGAAAATACCCTTTCTGCCCCTCTCTTTTCTGCCCATCCCAGGTGATTAAGGAAGTCCAGGAGTTTTACAAGGACACCTACAACAAGCTGAAGTCCAAGGACGAGCCCCAGCGGGACACCTTGAAAGCCATCCATTATGCGGTACGTCACCCCCTCAAAAGCTCCTTGGGCATGCATGTGCGCACAGGGGCCTGAGCACACCATACCCGGCATCTGTATTCTGGTGGTCTGCATTGTTCGTCTCTCTCACCCATCCCTGCCCTTCCCTCTGCAGCTGAACTGCTGTGGTCTGGTTGGTGGAGTGGAACAGTTTATCTCCGACATCTGCCCCGAGAAGGATGTTCTGTCAACCATCACAGTGAAGGTAAACTCGTGTGCCCCCGCCAGCTGCTCTGGACCAATCCCACCAGGGTTGACCTGAAATCCTGCCCTCTCCTCCTGAGAGGAGTTCTCCTCCTATGCAAGGGCCCCTCGGTGGCTCCATCTCTTTTCTCCCCTCCCCCAGGCCTCTGCTTCCTCAAGGGCAGCAGAACAAGGACCAGACCAGGGAAATAATGAAGTATTTAGATGTGCCAACAGTTCATGATTGGATGCTGGACCTAATGTCCAAACTTCAGAATAATCAGAAGTGACCCAACGGCCTGATGGGAGCTAGACCCCAAAGCAGGGGCTTACCCTTCTTCCTTCCCTTATTTCTTACCCAGACTTTAGGGACCCACCTCCATATCCCTTGGGTCTCACTTCCATCCACCAGCCAGGACACCTGGGCACTCCTGTCCCCAGTCCTTTCTGGGACCCCCAGCGTTCCTGGTGTGAAACAGGTGCTATGGGAGGGAGGAGGTACATTGGAGCAGGGATTGCGTGTGACCTGAGTCCTGGTTTGCCCCCCTCAGCCCTGCCCCGAGGCCATAAAAGAGGTCTTCCACAACAAATTCCACATCATCGGCGCGGTGGGTATCGGGATTGCGGTCGTGATGGTGAGTATTGAGGACACCGGGAGGGAACGATTGTCTTAGCGGTTAACATCCATGAAGCACACACTCTGGCCAGGGAGTGTGTTAACTCATCAATTACTTTATCAACTAATTTAATCCTCACCATACCTATGAGTGCGAGCTGTTGGTATGCCCCTTGTACAGACTAGGGAGTGGAGAGACAGGTTGAGTTGATCAAAGCCTCTGAGCTCATGTGTGAAGCATCTGGGATTTGAGCTCCGTACGTACGTATCTCTCCAGTACGCGTTGGCTTACCATCAAGGTTCAGGAGTAAGTGTAAGGTGATGCCAGTGCTGCTGGTCCACAGACCACACTCTGAGTAGCAAGGGTGTGGGTCACCCAGACCTGTTAGTTAGCCTGGGATAATCTTCAGGACATGTTTTTGTTATGCACCTGCTTTGCTTTTCCCCAAGAAAGTAGTTCAGTAGAAGTTACATGGATGGGAATTGTTTCACACACACACACACACACACACACACACACCATAGTCTGAAAGGCATCCAAAGGTGGACAGCCAGAAGGAAGATTCCAGGCTTCAGATAATCTACTGTTCTGCTAATCAGCACTCTCAGAAACCATTAAAGGGCACCCAGGATTCCCTGCAGTCACCCCCTCTTGCCCCAAAAGGGAGTAGTAAGAACCATGTAGGGGACTTAGCCCTCCTCTGCCCCAGTAAGACTATCCCAGAGTGAGAATTTATTCCTTTCTTTGTGGTTATTTACACCTAAGAAAGGCTTGAGGCCACTTTCAGTAAAAACCATAACAGTACTTCTTAAAATGGAATATAAAACAGAGACACACACATAGGTGGAAAGCAGTACAAGCCTGTGTGGATCATTGGAATATCTGCCCTTTGAGCATTAAATTGAGCTCTGAGCTTATTTGTCATGCTCTGGAAGTTTCCTCAGGGAAGTGGCTTGTGCCGTTTACATGAGCAAGTCACCGCAGACCTGCAGAACCCCAGCAGTCAGTGACTCTTCCCGTTACCCAGCCCCCGTCTCTCCTTCGGCACCCCTCAGCGTGCCTGGCCCTGTGATCACTATCCTTGTTTGTCTTGGCCCGGATGACTCATGTCTTTCCTCTCCCTCACCCTTCCCTCAGCAAAGCCGCCCTGTTCCTCATGTTCCCTTCTGTCTTCTAGATATTTGGCATGATCTTCAGTATGGTCCTGTGCTGTGCCATCCGCAGGAGCCGAGAGATGGTCTAGAGTCAGCTTGCACCCCTGAGCAGGAAAGTCCAGTCCTGAAGATTGTCGGTTATTTTCTTGGGGTTCTGTTTTTTAGCTTTGGGGGTTTTTTTGTTTTGTTTTTATTTTTGTTTTGGGGATTTTTTTGGTGTTGTCTTTTTCTGTTTTTTTGACCTTTTTTTCTTTTTTTTTTTTTTTTGCCACTAACCTTAGTATTCATTTCTGCATTTCTAAACAAAAAAGTTATTCCATGTTTGTCTTTTTAATGCTTTATTCAATATTGGTATTCATAGTTGAGAGATTTGGGGATTTGGTTTGCTTTGGTTTATATTTTGTTGTTGTTGTTTGTTTTGCTTATTATGTTAAGCAGAAATCCTGCAATGAAAGGTACTATATTTGCTAGACTCTAGACAAAAGATATTGTACATAAAGAGAATTTTTTTTTCTTTAAACAGATAAAAAAACGTCTATCATACTTAATCAGGTTGTAACTTATGTTGAAGACAATTTGATACGTAATAAATGATGATGACAATATCCTGGACCAGTTTTTGGTTTTTGTTTCCTGTATATTTTTAAAGCTGTTTGTTTTTCAGATGTCTTCTAACCTCATTTATTTGAGAATTAGGTTAGAAAGTTGGTCTCCCTACTTGACTAATGAAGAAAGCAAGACAGGAAGGGATTTTGATCCCACATCACACAGTTGTTATTAGAGTCTGCACCAGAACCTAGCCCATGCCTCTTTCTTGTATCATAGGTTGTATGTCGGGAAGATAGCAGTAAATGTGACCTCCCTGTTGGTGGGGGACTTCACTGCTTTTTTCTTCACTGCTCTACCCACAACCCCTAGAACCTACTGTCTCTGGTGTGTAGTAGGTGCTCAATAAATATTTGTTGGCAACTAATATTTGTTAATAAATGAGGGCATTTGATGAGGGAGGCAGAATATTAAATATTAAATATCATATATATTATAATTTACATTTTATATATGAGAGAGAGTGTGTGTGTGTGTGTGTGTGTGTGTGTGTAATTTGCTACACGGATTTGACCTTGTACGATCATTAGAGTTGTTTGCATAGTCTCTTTAAGACCATTGGCTTTGCATCAGACACAGGAACTTGAAGCCTTGTGGTCAGGGGGCTGACAGGAAGGACACCTGGATGTCCTTGGAGAGAGCAAGAACAGGCCAGAACTCAAACAGGAGCTTGAGAAGACAGACAGCTCTGTGTCAATTCTTGTTCCTCTGATGGGGGTGTGGGTCCTGCAGAGGCTAGCACTCTGTGTTAGAGCTAAACACAGGCCAGGAGCTGGAGGAGCTGACATGAGCCAGCAAAATAAGCAACAGTTTTGTGTGAGCTGCAAAATGTCTCATTACCTTTCAGGCCTCTCATGTGAGGAGGGGGAAAACCCAGGGTTAGCGTGCTTGCATCTCATTGCTATTCTGTGGCCCCAGGAGCCGCATTAATCTGAGCATTTGAGGGCTAATTGTACTGTTTCAATGTGGAAATAGCTGGTCAACTCTTCTTTCTATGAAAATGTGAATGAGCCCATCTTAAGTCAGCATCATAATCCCTGGTTAATTCTAATATCTGCCCTGTTGGTGACTGCCAGCTCCCTCTAGGTAAAGCAGGTTCCATCTACACACTTTCTACTCTGCTTCTCAGCTGAAGAGTAGGTGGGGTCAGAGTATAACAGATTTGCTACTCCTTAAATTGAGGAATACCTCGGCATTATACCCTGTCTTCTCAGTTTGTCATAAATAATGGGTCAATTGGCTAGCTTAAGCGAAAGCTTAAGAACACAAGTAGTGTCTCCTGGAACCCAAGAATGGAAACACAGTTGAGCCATAGGAAGTTTCTGGAACCACGGACTAGGAACTCCTGCAGCTATGCGCTTCTGAGTGCTGTGTTCTGCTCCCCAAAGAGACCACTTGTCTCTGCTACTCCGTCCACATGGATTGCAAAGAGAGCTGGTGTTCAACCCCAAGTTTATGCAGACAACCTCCAGTAGCCTCACTTGACATTTCAGGAAAGAAAATCTGCCCCAGTTTTCAGTGCAGTAACTATCCCTGACTTCAGTGGAGGGGTACATGTAGTAAAGACTCATCCATCCTCTCACCTGTGGACTGAACCTAAGATCAGAAGCAGAGGGATCACTGAGAGCTGGCAGACCCCAGAAGGGAGCCAGCTCATCCATGCTGTGCCCAGTCCAGCCCAATAAGCTCGCCCTGACTCCCGGTGGATGGGTCTAGTTGAAGGTCTACAACTAAGGCAAAACCAAGATCGGCCAATGCTCTCAGGGCCTGAAGGGCTTTTGGAAGAAAGTCCTTCAGGAAGTTATAGGTCACAAAAAGGCAATAGACTGCCAATAGCAGTAATAGGTATGGGTCCAGAAAGAACCTCCTTGGGCAGAAGAGGAAGGGAAACAGCTGGATGCATCGGCCTCTTGGTTCAACTGGGAAAGGCAGAGCAGGGGCAGCAAATTTGAATATAAACAAATGGATAGTAAAGGTTATTACAGGTTATTACTTTACCTGGTGCCCTTCAAGGACTGAGAGTGCTTTAATATCCCCAAACTCCACGCCTTCTACTGTGGAGCTGAGTGGTGCAAGGGTGGAGGCAAGACCACAGGTATCAGGCACTCCTCCCATGCTTCGCCATTTCCTCGGCGAAGGAGTCTGAACTAGCGCATCAGGACACTCCCAAAGGGCAGCGTATTTTTGTTTCACTGAAAATGAAGGATCTCCTGAGCCGCTTGGGCACAGGATGGAGTAGTCTGGGTGGTCTTCCAGCACAATCAGATCCATAGCTGGGTGAACACTCCCATACAAGAGGAGAGATCTACTGGTGGGCTTGGGGTTGGGGAGACCCTGCTTTGCCCTTTCTGGTCAGTGTTTTAAATAATTTGGAATATTATGAAATATTACAGGTTTCACAAAGCTCTGAGGAATACCCAGTAATGTGAGTAACACAATTATAGTTCAAAGAGATCTCAGGATTTGGAATAATGGATTATGACACCCAAAGGATATATCTTACAAGGAATAAATAATAAGTGAAATCAAGCAGTCTACAATAATATGTTTAAACACAGTTCCTCATCCCTTAACACTTCTAGCTGAAGAAGAAGTTAAGTGCATGTTTGGCTGGCTAGGTAATAGGGGTTTTCTCTCATGCATTAAGTCTGGAGACAACTACAGGTGTTGATTCAGCAGCTAAACACTCACAAAGAAGGCATCTCTGTGATTCTCTTGGCTTTCCTCCGTCACAAGGTAGCTGCCATGGCTCCAACCATCTCTACATTCACAGCCGGAAGTAGAAGGGCAAATCCTTGCTATAAGTATCCCATTTATCTAAAATGCAAAAGCTTGGGGCACCCGGGTGGCTCAGTGGGTTGGGCCTCTGCCTTCGGCTCAGGTCATGATCCCAGGTCCTGGGATCGAGCCCCACATCAGGCTCTCTGCTCAGCAGGAGCCTTCCTCCTCTCTCTCTCTCTCTCTCTCTCTCTCTACCTGTCTCTCTGCCTACTTGTGATCTCTGTCAAATAAATAAAGAAGATCTTTAGATAAATTAATTAAAAAAATAAAATGCAAAATCTTCCCCCAAAAGCTCAGAAGCTAACTTCCATTCATGCATCATTGACCAAAATCTGTCACATGAGTACTCAGCGACAAGGGTGGCTGAGAAATGAGTATGTAATTATGCCAAACTACAAAGAAGATGGGAAAGGGTCAAATGCGTTATGGGTATTTCATTCCATTTTAAAAGTTAGAAGATTCTGGGGCACCTGCATGGCTCAGTGGGTTAAGCCCCTGTCTTCGGCTCCGGTCATGATCTCAGGGTCCTGGGATGGAGCCCCACATCAGGCTCTCTGCTCAAAAGGGATCCTGCTTCCCCCTCTCTCTGCCTGCTTCTCTGCTTGCTTGTGATCTCGCTCTGTCAAATAAATAAATAAAATATATTTTTTTTAAAGTTGAAGTTTCCATTTTAAAGAAGAAGCTCAGTATTTGCCCCCAGAACATACAATTAATATATTGGATACAGATTTGAATCCAATTCTATTTTTCTCCAGTCTTACTGCACATCTCACATAGTGGTGCTTCCAGGATTAATAATACCACAGGAAGAAATTTAACAGGAACATACTGGAATCACTTGATTGGAAGAACTCATTACATAAATGCAGGATGGAGAAATAACTTCATTTGAAAAAAAGGACAAAGAAATGTAGCTTACCACAAACTTAAAAGAAGCCAAAACTGTGAGGTGAGGCTATTACAGGTTCCATCCAGAGACATAGGTGTCTGGATGGAGGGAGATAATAAAGCTACCACAGATGAAGCAGTCAGGCCCTAGGGCAGTATGGTGCTCCATTCTGGGGCCTGTCCTCAAAAAGTAAGGGAGCCAACTAAAAGACCTAGAGATAGGAGAGACCTTGGGGAGGGATTGAAACCATGTCATCCCAAAGGAGAGTGAAGGACCAAAGGATTCTAACCTGGGTGAGGTGGGGGGAACCAACACGCAACAATCTTGGTTTCCAAATATCTAAAGAGCTGTAGGGTAGACCAGGGACATATGTGGTCCCAGAGACCGCAATGAGAACTCATGGCAGAATTAACAGGGAACAGATGTTGGCTTAAAACAAGGAAAACTCCTTGGAACCTGGGGCTATTGAACAGAGTAGTGGGCCCCAAAGTGTGAAGGAGGCTCCAGGAGAATCTGGAGTTGGGGTATGCCAATCCCTGCATGATGGGGCCTTGAGGAACCCTGACATCCCTCCCATCTCTAAAATCATATAGAGATGTACGTCTCCAAGCAAATACTCAGTGTTGGGGTGGAAGAATTTTCTCTGCTGTTCAAGGTCCTTCCAGTTGGACTAAGAATCAAATTGACAGGAGCCAGATTAACAGTAGAAAGCCATATTTAAGAGCATACATACAGGGAATCCACACAGACATGGAAATTCCAAAGACAGGCAACATGATACTTATACAAGCTAAGGAGGGGGGTAAAGATATGAGGATACAAATGGTTTCGAGAAAGAACAGGAAGGTGAAAAGAGATGCTTGCAAAACAAAGGTTGCCCTATTATGCAGATAAATGTCTTAGGTAACACGGAATCTTTGTTAATAGCTCTCTTCCTGGTACAAGCAGGC